TCAGTGGCAAAACTGACACCTCCATGGTCACCTAAGTGGATGAAATGGATGATTTTGCTCATTTACAGCCCAGGATGTGATTAAGCTGCACTGGCTGAGGCTGGAGCTAGGCTGTGGAGATCCTAATTTACCTGGAGGAGTCTCAGTGTTACAGACAAGTTATTTTTACCTTTCCCAGCTCTGGCTTTATTGGCACATGATGATTCTGGGGTGACAGACTTTGTGAAGAACTTTTCCCATGAGTATGCCAAAATTTTAGCTCTCGTCTGGTTTGCATAGCAGGATTTGCTTCCCCTGAATCAAATCCTGCAATGGCACATGCTTGGACTTGTGTGTAAATAAATCCTTTGTTTTAGAGGGTACAAATTTAAGAAACTATTTTATTTTGGATATTTTTGGATGGCTCTCTCCTGGCAAAGTAAAGCTTCTAGAAAATGTCGCTAAAGATTAAGTTTGCCTCATAACAAATGTTTTTGTTTTGTGTACATACTATTAGTCAGTATTTGATACTCTAGATTGGTTCTTTAATCAAGTGACATTTCTCATGCATAATTGAAATTTTTAATCATTAAAGAACATTTTCTTCAAAGCACCTGACGATTTACTAAGACAACAATGAGCTGTCTGAAGCTGTTTTTCAAGGTGGTAAAGAAATACCCCAGTACTGAAGCAGCATTCTCATGGGTTTTGTTTAAGTACCTGTTGATGTTGATGTTTTTCTTGACATCCAGATGTGATAGAATTGTTTTGCACTGCCGGAACAGATGTGTGTAAATATAAACTCTTAAGAGAAAAGCTATTTGTCAAGTTTTGCAGCTTTGTATACTTACTGTGCTAGCATATGGGAAACATGAGATGTGCAAGATTTTCCAGTTAGCCCAGGAAATTCCCATGGCAGCAAGCAGTGTGATTAAATTTAAAGTTATTTTCCCTTGCTGTAGTTCTAAAATTTCTGTTCCTGCTACTCATTAGTTGTTTTTTTTTCCTGTCAACAAGAATCTTTCTGCCATAACCTTGTTGGCATGATTTCTTTCATGAGCCATTTATTACCTGATACCAGTCTCAGTGGAGGGTAAACCACTCCTCAGTCATGCAGGAAAGCTTTTGCAAAACAATTCTAGGAATATCCCCAGTCTTGCACAGCACAGTCCCAGCATGGTCTCTCCAACAGATTGTACTAATGTGCTGTGGCATTGAGATGAAATCTTTTAATAAAAAGTACTTGATGTCAAGTACTTTTGTGTGCTTGACACAGCCAGTACTTGGAAAACAAAAATTCAGAGTGGTCATTTTTGCACTTATTTATTTCATTTACAGGTAGGGGACAAATATAAATATGCAGCAGCAGAAACTGGCATCTTGGATTCCAAACACACTCTTAGCAGGATTTCTCCCTTAAGGGAAAAAATTCCCTTTCCCATCTGTAATGAGCTTTTTATGCTCCCCTCCCAAGTGCAAACAAGATGTAATGGTCAGTGGGTGTAATAGGGATCTAAATCCACTCTTAGTTTCTCAATGTTTGACTAATTTGCTTATTGCAAATCTAGTGAGAATTGGAATATATATATTGCATATTTCAGTATAATTGTGAAAATGCTAATTTTTTATTTGAAAATTATATAACTGTACATTTTATTAAAACACAAATAAGTTCTGTCAATTTTAATTTTACCTCTAGGCAACACTATTGTTTAAGAGGTTATCACATACCTTTTTCCTCCTGTAATAATTTTAAAATAAATGTTTTAAGACATTGGGACCTTATATTTAGATATGATCTTCCTGTACATTTCCATACACAAAGAGTTCACGGCACAACCAAGACTATAAGACGATTTTTAGAAAGCAGTGCCTGAAGTAGGTCCCTACAGAAGCATGATTCAATAAATGTGTTATTGACACACAGCTACCAATGCAGAGCAGCTGAGGTGAGCTTAAGTCAGGCTTGTGGTGACAGAGCCACCCTGGCTTATTTGCTTACATTTATTTTCTTTGTAAATGTGACTGTGGATGTTTCCTCTGTATTAAGCAGCTAAAATTATGTTTGTGAATTGCTGACTTGGTGTGCTGGAAGCAGAGCCTGCCTGCCAAGGTCCACGTTGGAGGCTGAGCTGAAGGCTCAGCCTTGTCCTCCTGCCACGTGGCTGCCCCAGACGAGCCACCACCATCCAACAGAGCCTGGAAAATGCAGCAGCCTGAAATAGCTACAGTGCTTGGCCACACTAAAGGATGTTTTTATGTCGAATTGTAGGGCTTGCAGTATTTCAGAGGTCAAGTAGGTTTCCTGTCTGCACAGCCCACAGTCCTTGTCCATCTGTGAAATACCAAATTAGACTGAATAAACAGATTTTTCTTACTGTTTTACTTCAGATTGTGCCTCTGCTGTAGCTGGGAACTGTCTAGGAGGATGCAAAGGTATTTATTTACTCTTCTAGTAGCTGTCACAAATATTTGCCTCCATTATGATTATACACCAAATATACTCAGTTTAGTGATTGCCATGAGTACTGCCTCTCAAAAGAAACTACAAGCCCCTAAAAGTCAAAAAAGCTGGAGGAAATGTGAAATCTGGGAGATGAGCTGCTTTGGATCCACTTCCATGCTGGCACTTTCCAAGGAAATTCTAATTATGTTAATGTCTTCAGTTCTTGCTTTTGAGCTTTATTTTTTTAATTAGCAGAGTGTTTATGAAAGCCCCTGTCCTCTCCCCATGGGGCTGTGTGTTCCAGCAGAGCCCTGGGGCACCATCCCTGTGGGAATCTGCTGTGCTCAGCCCCCTCCATCCAGCACAGCCAGCCTTCATCCTGGGCCATTTCTGACAATTCTTTGAGAGCAAAAGATCCCAAGTCCATTTCAGCACAGATCTGTGCTCACAGGCACACTGAACAATGCACATTTATTCGTGATTAATGGAAATTAGTATGATCCTATGCACAAGTTGGTTGAGCAGTAAAAGGCTTTGTCAGGCACTCCATTAAGGCTGCACGGGAAATTCTAAAGCCAGTTTGAGCTGACTCTTTTTCTCAATTGGGCTATATTTTATGTTTGGATGTTCAGCTTTTACACTTAAATCTTTTCTGCCTTTTGAATAGAAACACTGGAATGATTCCATCTGCTTTTGTCAATAAGGGAATTATAAGGAGCACATTCCTGCTGCAAGGCAGAACACTTTATGTGCAGTATTTTCCTTCCAGAGAGGTTATGGTGGATGATGATGAAAGGTGTGTGACATCCACACTTGCCCTCTGCTGCAGGAAACACTGCACATTTGCAAACAAGTGGAGACTTTTTTTAGTTTAGGGGTTTTTCTATAGCACTGAAGAGAAATCCTGGTTTTGAATTACTGAGTTTGGAAAATATGGTTCATTCACATGCCTGCCCTAGACAGTAGAAGGAATAAATAAACTGTTTCCCACTTTTCTACTGGAATGGTGTATGTTGCATAAAAGAGTTGGAGAGAAAGCTCCTTGTGATTAGCAGTGGCACTGAGATGCTCAGGCAGCCCCAGGGAGGAGGGAGAGGTCTGTGCAGGGCAGCTCCTGCAGCAGTCCCTGCTCCAGCAGAGCTGCCCATCCTCTGAGGCTGCTGCAACCCTGTGAGCCCAGGGGAATCTCCTGCCAGGGTGGATGCACCAGGGGTTGCCTGTATTTGCCTTGTCTCCCTCTGCCTCCCTGCAGCAGGTTAGCTGAATGGGAACAGCAATAAGAACACCATCAATATCCATTTGTAAAACTGTCTAAAAAAAGGACTGAACAGACTGAGGACAGAATAATGCCAGTTGTTTATTACCTACTCCCCTGGCTGGCACAAACTCTCAAAGTTAACAAGGCATTGTTAAGTACAAATGACTTCCAAATTCACTTACTGCAAAGCTGTCTTTTCAGTTATAAAATGAATCAGATGGCTCTTGAATAGCTGAAAAACAAGAAAACCACCCAAGCTGACAAAATTGTGTCCATATGAAATGGAGCACTGCTTGTTATTTAGAGGTGTCAGATAAAATTTGAGCCTAGCCTTGTGAAGCAGAGTCATCTGTGGTGGTGTTTTCTGAGCCCTGGGTACAGCTTTCCTTTGTGGGCATTTTCTTTAATTCATGCAGTGTTGCCACATAAACTGTCAACAAGAAAACCATGCACTCTAAATAGTTTCTTGCCACAATCCAAAACTTACCCACTTATCATTGGGAATTTTGACTTGCAGCTAAGTCCTCAACTGCCAAAATTCTCAACAGAGTTGAAAACCTAAACCAGAACTTGATTTTAAATTGCTTGTGTGTCTACCTGCAAGTACATTTTTAAAGGATTGTAGCTTAAGATATAGATGAGGAATTATACTACATTCCAGCTTCCCTGGAAGCCCTTACTCTTCCTTCTCTGTAAGAGCAGGATTCCATGTAGGTTTTTTGTCTGCTTGGCAGGCATGGGAATGCTGCTGTGGGCTGAAGGATGCAAACACTGCTGAAGTACACCAAGGGCCCCAACACCTTTGCAGAAGAATGTAAACAATCCATCAAAATCCAAAACTTACTGTGGAATGGAGAAAACATGATCAAAACCAATATTTATTTCGTATTTCATCCTTTTCCCTAGATGCCCTTGGCATTTTTTCCTTTTACATTCTACTCACACACAGGTAGCAAGAATTAGGCTGCTGGTAATACTGGTTTTATAAGGCACTCGAGTGCTGGGCCTGAATTGTACATAGGAATGAGAGCTGGGACAGGGAACCAGTGGGACTGTGAGCAACAGGAGAAAGTAAATTTTTTTTTACGTGTTGCAGATCAAAATCAAAGCACTGAACATGGTGATGTGCAAAGGGTTGGTGTGCTGGCCACAAGCCCCAGTAAGACCAGTAAGCCTTAGTGTGTGTCTCTGGTGGTTTTTTTCTGGTATCAACATGGAGTTGACTGGAAAGAATGGTAAAAGGGCTGCACAGATGGGCTTGGAAGTATAGTTGTATTAGCTCTTCTATTAATCACCTTTTTATTTCTTCCCTTCCAGGTGCAAGTGGGAAGTACACCTCAGGACCAAAGAATTGTGGGATACATTTCCTGCACTCACTTGCAAGCTATTGCAGGTACTGTCCTATGATTCATATCTTTGTCACTATTTCCACCCTGTGGTGCTATTTGTGTGCACAAGAGTGATGGTGTTGTCCCTCCTGTGTTTCTGACAGTCAAGTGCAGCATGTGCTGCAAAGAGTGGTAGATGAGTATCAGCCCTTCACATCTTCAGTCTCAGAGTAATTATTATAGGGCACACACAGAAACTGTCCCTTGGGAACTTCTCTTTGCTGCCTCTTAACCAAATACTGACATTTTAGAAGTACTATTACTATCATTGTTACTCCACGGCATTTAACAACCCATATTGTGATTATCAGCATATAAACAAAAATTTCTTTGTACATAACTGGGGGATAATCAGAAGATACATGTTGGGACCGTAATTCTAGCTGCTGATTTCTGGTGGGAAAAGCTGAAATTCCCTGGCTTTGGACCTGCAAATTTCGTCCATTGATGACTAGCAAGTTAATATACTCACTGGAAAATTCTCTTGGTCACATGTTTAAAAGCAGTTCTGTACTTGGAGTAGATGTAGTTAGAAAAGCAAATCTACAGATATTTACTTTGAGTATGACCAGCACTGGGTTGGATACCCCTCATGTATTTCATATGACTGTGGTTCCTGTGCTCCTGGCTGCTGGAAGCACGACAGCCCTGCCAGACTGGCTGCTGCCAGCCCCTGTGCTGGGACCAGGCAGGCAGGGCTGCAGTGGATGGTGGAGCTGTGAGCCCGTGTGCTGCTCCCTGCCTCAGCCACACACACACCTGGGGACAGAACTGCCAGCCCTCAAGTCCATTAGAGACACTGGGTAGTTCTAAAAAAGATGAATGAATTTTTCAGCTACTCTTTAACAATGTAAAAGTTTCTGCTTCCTTCCTTCTCTGCTTTTCTATTTTTAACTTACGGCAATGTACTGTGAGATTGCTGAGATTTATGGCTTCTCCAGTTTAGTTCAGGTTTTTGGGTTTTGTTTCTAGTTTCAGTCCTGTTCCTTTTTTTACTGCCTAGTCATGTATTCTCAGCTAGTCCTTGATAACCACATTGTGAAATCCCTAGAATATTAAAGAGGAAGAGGGAGGAGGGAAGAAGAAAGGGGAAGTAATGTTCTATCTTCAGAGTCAGCCTAAAGTTTGTTCAAGGGTAAACCACAACATTTTATTTTCCTGCTTCGTATTTTTAGGCTTATCTGGTTCAAACTACATTCAAATAGAGCAGACAATGATTTAAGAGTCTGTCCCTAGATATATCATATTTGTTTATGTAATGAAATGGAAAACTGAAGTTAGTAAGTTCGGCAGAGCTGTGCTTTCTGATTTGCATCATTTGATTCATAACATTCATGCGTTAAACAAATTATCCAAAAACCCAGTTTAACGATGTAAAGATGTGTATCTATAAAAACAAGCAGTGTTTGAAAGGTCAGCCATTTAAATCATCTTGTCACACGTGGCTGAGTGCAACCTGGTGTCCCTTCTAGGATACATAAACTTACACTTGACAGTTCTGATACTTACATAAGTATAAAGTGAAATGATCCAACTGCTTATGATCAGGGACCAGCTACTAATGCTTTTCTCAAGGTATGTGCTGGCTCAACTCTGTTCTGAGCAATTACTGTTTGCTCAGACCTGACCCTCAACTTCTTCAAGAAACTTTAGAATTAGATGTAGCTTTTCCTCTCAGGTCTCTGCCTGGTACTGGTTGCTGTTACGAAGAAGCTCTTTATTTCCACTGTGGAAATAGTTGCATTTCAGTGACAAATGAAGGGATCTTTTAATGAGATTTGATGTAATTATTTTCCAGGGGGCTGTTAATTCTACGTGCTTCTTTCATGTCTGTTGATTAGTCAGTGATTAATGCTCTGGACAGGTTTTGCTGCCTTGAATCCACCCACATCCCAAGTCCTGTTGAGTCACAGCTCTCAGACACCCCACCAAGCCATCAGAGTAAGCCCCAAGCTACTCCAGCCCCATTCAAGTGAAGTATCCTGCTGGATCTATCTCACTACTGTTCACATCCCTGTTCTGCATTCAGTGTCAGTGTAGCCACAGAGCTGAAGCAGAGCTCAGCATGGAGAAAGCTCTCTGAGGGTTTGGAATTGTGGTGGTGCAACCAGGAGTAGCTGCAGTGTTGAGCATCCTCAGGCAGTGACTGCACCGATGTTCCTGGAGCAGCAGAGCCTGTGTATCCACAGCAGGGCAGCCTGGCCTTCCCCCTCCTCTCAGCTGTGCTACCCCAGCTGTCCTAACTCTGCTCTACTTGGCTGGGGACCTGACCCAGCTGAAAAGGAACCCAGCAGAATAAAAGGGGACTTTGTTCCTTTGGGTTCTTACTTTGGTTTATTCTTACTTTGGTTTATTTTATTTCCTCAGTCTAGCCTGGATGAAGTGTTACAAGTGCAGGGGTCTGCACACAGTCAGGTGTGACACAGCCTGTCTCACAGCTGAACTGAAGCCTTTGGTTTGTGATTTGGAAACAATTTTCCCTTGTCATTAGGCTTTATATCCTACACTTTGCAAGTTTTTTTCCCTCTTCTTCCCCAAGCTTCCTGCCAGTATATCCCATACTGCACTGCCTCCACTAGATCTTTTCATGTCCTGTGACTAGGCCTGGATCTGCTTTGTCCTACAACCATAGTGCTCCTTCCAATGTCTTTCAGAATAGGACAGAGCAGTCAGTGTGTAACACTTGCCTGAGTTCTAACTGAAGCCAGGGTTTCACTCGAGTGTTTTCTAAGTGAATGGAAAGGGCAAGTATGATTATTCTACAATGAACAAAGGTGAAGTATTTATTTATGCTGGCTGAAGTTTCCCCTATTACCCTTTCATCCTTCTGCAAGATTTGAAGCTGAAAGGAGCTTTCAGAGAATTCAGAAATGCTGGCTGCAGGAACCCATCACGACACAATTATGTGTATTTTTCTGGGCCAGTTACTGAAGAAAAGAGTGCAGAGCAATTAGCACAAATCTGTATTCTTTGGCTAATCCCTGGTAGCAGTCAGATCACTGGTTCTAGCTGAATGTTTAAGAAGTTGAACGTTTGTTGGGAGTTACTATCTAGTTCTCTTCTGTTAATATTTACTGAACTGTCTGTTCCCCTGATGTGCTGGATGCAACTTTGGCTTCTCTTCTGCTTGGGTGTCTGATGAGCTATTTTATCTTCATCTCCAAAGTTATTGATCATTGGGAGACTCGGGTCTGAGTAGTAACTTTTGCACATGCAGTGCCTGCTGAAAGCTGCAGTGAGCTGGATAACACTAATGTCAGAAAACAATTGCATTCAAGTCACTCATTAGAGGGATTCATTAGAGAGATCCCATCTTATGTCCTGGAAGTGTAGCTGACTGTATGCCCCTGCTCCCAGTGGTGCCCTGAAGAGCAATAACTTCCATGACCTCTAGTGGGGATATCTAGTCAGGGATGCTGGGCTGCCACAAGTCCACTCTTTGTTAAAGACAGATGGAAGTCATGTTCCCAGAGCTCCAAGGCCCCTGTTTACCTGTGGAGCCCTGAGGTTAAAAGCTGTACAGGGCTGTTACAAAGGCTCAGCATCCCCAGAGAGAAATGTATGTCACTATGCAGTTAATGCTTTTCTAGTGACAACAATGCATCTTATCAGACACATCATTTTGCTTGTGTGTATCTTGTTTTTCTCAAGGTTTTTTCTGTTGGAGAATTTTGCCTTTTTGTGTTTCAGTTAAGTGGGTTTGCTGTATTTTTCACACTGATCTAGGACAGGTTGCTGCCTGAGTTTTATGTCCATGTGGTAATGGCCCTGTTATTTTATTTCTCATTTGATGAAGCCATGCCAGATGGATAATTCACAGAAAATGAGTAAAAAATCCTTGGCCATTCAGGAATGTAAAAGCACATCATAGAAAATGAAGCAATTTATGTAATTGGGATTTTGTGGGGAACGAGATTTTACTGCATTCTTGTCAACAAGCAAGTTATCTTATGTGGAAACAATGGCAGGTCAGAAAAAGTACAACCTAAGGACAGGAGACAGGAGAGGAAGATTCAGATGCTGCTAAAGGAGGACAGTCCATGAATCTGAATGAGCTTCACCAGGAATGAGAAAGCTGGGACAGCTTCAGGTGGAGAAAGCTCTTGTCCAAGTGTAAATACTTGATGGGAGGGTGCAAGGAATGTGGAGGCAGCCTCTCCTCACTGGGGTGCAGTGATGGGACAAAAGGCACTGGGCACAAACTGAAATGCCATTTAAACACAGGAAAATGGGGTTTTTTGCAAGGATGATGAAGCATCAGGACAGGCTACCCAGAGGTTATGGAGTCTCCACCTACAGAAATTTTCAAAACCTGACATGGTCCTGAACAGCCTGCTGTAGGTGATCCCTGCTTGGGACTGGATGATCTGCAGAGGTGCCTTTCACAAGCTCCTACATTCCATGAATCTGTGACTTCTCCCCTAAGCAGGATGGGTCTCTTAGTCATGCACACCTTTTGTAGTGAGTGTCACCTGCTCCAGGCTTTATTTATTCCACCTGACCTATTTCCTGTGCTTTTGTTCAGCTCCATCTTCACTGTGGGGCTTTCTTGTGCTGTCATAGCAGGGGCTTTCCCAAGAGTGTCAAGCTGTGTGAGTAGGGTACAATGGGAACCTGAGGTACCAGTAACTAGAAACTGTAGGTTAGGGAATAGATCTGGAAAACACATCTGCTTTTATATTACAGCCCAGCTGGTAAAGGTTTGTTAGGAGTAACACAAACAGAAGAAAAAGATCAGATTTTTTGCTGTTGGAATTACCAGTCTGAAGACATGAGTCAATGTCAGAGCCTACTTTAAACCCTCTTTCCCTAGTCATGGTCTTTTCAATATTGCTTTTAGTTATTTAGCATCATATCAAATAATCCTTGGTTGAACATTTCTGATTCTGTTTGTATTTAACTGTTGCTTTAACACCTTCCTGCTCACCCCTGCCCTGAGATGATGTTGAAATTCCAGCCTTTCACAGGGTGAGAGTGGTGGGAAGGTGAAGCCCTAATGGCTGGAGCCTGTGTGTGCTAATGCAGTGACAGTGCTAAAGCTGCAGAGCTCACTTTTCAAGAGTCTCTAAAGAGTCATGGTGACAGCTGCAGTTGAGATGAGTGTTTAATAAACTGTGAGGGTGCAGACTTAAATATTCACCATCTCCACTGTGGCCTCTGAAAGCAGCTCTGGACATACATAAATAAAGAGTTTTTACAAAGTAGTAAATTATGTCAAAGTAAAATTCTACTCAGACTAAGTAATTTTGGGCTTGCTGCTTTTCCTTCTGATTCTGGCATTTGAAAACAAATCATTTCTTTTGAAGAGAAGTAATGTTATTCTGACTTCATGTATCTTTAAAAGTCTGAAACAAGCAAAAATATAGCTGTTAACTCTAGGGATAGTGAAACCAAAACAAAAGGAAAGACAATATGGTAAAGAATTGTTTCGAGAATGGATCTTTCTGCTCCTTTGTCCACATCAAAATGATTTGCTGTAATCATTGTAAGAGAGAGACAGTAATAATTTTTTATTGGACTTTGTGTCACCTAATGTGCTGGAAGTTAAGTGTGGTTAGTTGCTGTAATTAAAGAGCTCTTTTGTGTGTCAGATGGTTCCGTTTGGCAACCAATCAATCTCAGCCCTTAGAACTGGGCACATCCTGGTGCAATTCTGGAACTGGTGAACAGAATCTGGTTCTTTATTTCTCTTCCTGAACGTAAACAAAACCCTTCCTCAGATGGACTACCACAGTATAAGTAAGGTGAATGTACCATTGATGTATATTTACTATTTACACTTGAAAGCTAAACCTTTCCTTTTCAAAAATCAGAAAGCAAAGCAAGATCAAGTGATTTACCTCAGAACAAAATGTCTAGTTCTGTCTGAAGTAGGGTTTTAACTTTGAATTCCTGATTATAAATGTACTGCATCAGATTCTCCTATGACAAGAAATATCATTGTTCTGGGTGGTTTCTGCAGGGCACTTGTTTCTCATTTCTTCAGATGTGCTTGATTCCAGAAAGAGATATTTAAAACCATCAAAAAGTGTGGTTCCCAATGGAGTTCCTAACAGGCTCAGCACTAGGAGTCCCCTTTTGGCCACACCATTTCTTACCTTGCAGCCTTTTTCTCAGGATGTCTGCCAATAGCTCAGCAGCTCATACATGGCTGAGTATCATTCTAACAGGATTTTGGTTGTTTGTTTGTTTGCTACAGGAGACACTACTGTTCGATGTGAGCAACTGGATATGCTTCAAGATTGGCTGTCTGAATTCAGAAAATCTACCTCCTCCTCCAGCACAGCCAATCCAGAGGAGCTGGTGGCTTTTGATGTACTCTGTGGAGATCTCAACTTTGATAACTGCTCCTCTGGTAAGACAAGGCTTGCATTTCCTGGTGTCGAGCAGTCCTGAAAAGGAATAGGAATGTTCTTGATCCCTGTGGGCTATAGCAGTATATGACTATACACTAAATTATGACTGGCTTTTGCTAGGAAAACTTAATTGCTGCAGACATTTCTAAAATAGGTATGAGCTTTGGGTGTGAGCTACTCCCCTTGGCTCATCCCATGAGCTCTGTGGAATTATTAAGCAAGATGGGTTTTAAGGCAGAAGAGCAATAATGAGGACAGATCAAGTGGTTTAGCTTTACTTGAATTAGGTAAATATTTACTGTCCAACGGTTTTAGTTACTGATGAGAGACATGTATGGGACTTTTGTGGATAAAAAGTAGTAAATTCATGCAGTTAAAAATAATTTGGAAGTACATATATACAGACATAGGAGACTAATGCTGCAGAGAGAATTCAACATTGCTGAATCAGTCTTGGGAAAAATTAACTGATGCTATGTACTTTTGGGGTTTTTTATTTAAAGAAATTTGTTTTTTTTTTTCTTTTAATTGGATGCTGAGGGTACTAGAAAAAGAACTCCACAAAACCATAATTAATGGGTGGTGAGTTCACAGAGATGGAAGCTTCTTCCAAACATGAATATTACACTGTGTAACAGTTAAATTGCCAATGTGGAGTGCAGAATGTTGTGTCTGTGTATCCTCTGTGCCTCCCTCAGCACCCAGCAGAGCTCCCTGGATGTCATGGATCAGTGTCTGGGGCTGAGGGGCCACATCTGGAATGCTCCACACAGAGGGCCCAGGGCAGGTACAGGGAGGGCTCATCACAGGGACAGTGCCCAGGAGAGCTCCAAAGTGGGATGCAGCAATTCAGATCAGGGCTTGTGGATGAACAGGTGAACTTGGCAACAGCACCCAGTGGATTCTGTAGTCTTTATAAGTGTAAGGTAACTGAGACAGAGAGCAACTGCTGTACCAGAAGCAATTTTAACAAAAAGCATTGTGTAACCTAAAAACCTCCAAACTGTTATCTCTAATCTCATTACTTGTATCAGATATAAATGGAGGATTTTAGCAAAGTTTGGTAGAAAAGACCACCACCCAAACCCCAGCCCTTCTCTCACTCGTTTCTAACTCATATAGACAAAGAGTAAATCCATCACAACTCAGGCTCCAAACTAAACTCAGAGTGGTCCAAGTGCCCTCACTGGTGAAAGGGAGCAGTAAGTGGCAATGGCTACAGAATGCTGTAGTCAGACAAACACATCTCAGGGTGAAGAATAATGCAGCAGTGGTAGTGGTTTTTGAGGGAATACAGGGAGGAAATGGTCAATCAGAGCTGCCCCACAGGCTGAGGAGGTGCAGCAGTGCCAGGCGAGGGAGGCAGAGCTGGGGACACAAGCAGACACATCTGCTGTGATTTGAGCATTTCACTTGCAGGATTGTTGGCTGGATGGAGTGGCCTGGAGGCAAAGGTGTCCATCAAGGAAGTAAACAAGCTGCTGCAAACTAAACGGGAGAGTGGCCAGTCAGATCACAAATGGAGAGTGAATGGGCTCTGCAGCACGGGCAGAGGGAGATGGCAGTGAAGCTGTGAGGCAGAACATATGGTCAGGACTCTCCACCTGACAAGTGTTGGCTCTCTACCCAAGATCTTGCACAAGAAACACAGAGCATAATTAATGCAATTCTGAGCTGTCTTTTTAATGAAAAAGCAAAAGCAACAATTTGCTTTTGCAAATAATAGTTGTAAGCATTGTAACTACTTCTAAAGAGGATTGAAAAATGGGTTATAAAAATTAATTTTATCTTTGCTATCTCCGACACTTATTTACATCACCCTCCCCTCTAAAATGCACCCAGCCTGGAAACTGGAATTAAGCTGGCTATTTATTTTTTTTATTTTCAGATTGCTTCCTTTCCATATGTACTAAGCAAGATTAATGCAATGTTCTAAAGTTCTCTCTTCCCTTTTTACATTACTCATTGTTTTAGGGACATTTGTTAGCCTTATAGGTTAATTGAGTATCTTAAGTTTTTTTTAAGCAATAATCAGCTTCCTGTAATTCTCTTTGTGATTTTCTGTATCTTTTCCCACTCAACAGGCTGATACAACAGCTAATTAATGTTTCAGTGAATACCAAGCTTCTATTCTTAGTTATATTGACAGTACAGTTTTCTAAGATCTTTAGGTCCATGAGTGACCTTATACTTATGACAAATTTTCTGCAACTCAGTTTTCCCCTCAAGCTTTACAGAACATAATGGCAACATTTGTACAGGGAATTCACATTTAGTGGGAATGTTATCAGAAAGTTACTTATTGTCACGTTGCTTTGGACTGACTTGTGTAAAAGTCTAGTATATTTTAAAACCTTTTATCATAAGAAAAAAAGCCTTCCAATCAGATGGGTAAAATTTTGTGTCATCAGCTGTGACTTGCCATGGTCATCCCCACAGCTGTAAATTAATATTTTTTAATCTGTCTTGGTTTTGAGGGAGATTCTGTAGACATATGATACAACAAGGGAAAACTTGGAGAAATGAAAAAATGGCAATGATTTAATCTTCTTCTTTTCCATAAACATTAAAGAAACCAATTGGCTGCTCAGACAGAAAGAGCAATTCTTTGTGTTGCCTACATGGCAGAACTTGGGGAGGATCAGTGCTCCAATCATCTGCCCCAACTCCAGCACTCCCTGAAAAATTAGTTTTTCAATCTCCTTGCAGTTCTGAGGACGTTCTCAAGACTGAGAGCTAGCTGGAAAGATGTGATGAGACAGATGAACTGTCATTCAGCTGTACTAAAGACTCTGAATAACAAAATGGCAAATGAGCAGACAGCTGTGAGCACAGCACCGCTGCTCTCCTGCTTTTTGTTCAGCAGAGAGATCAGCAGCTTCATCAGTGTTTTACACGAGGAGATTTGATGTGATCCTTGGTGTGTGAGATGGGCTCTGTCTAAGAGACACAGCTCACAGTTCAGAGTTTTGTTTTAGACTATATTTCCTATTTTTACACATGCTCTTGGCATAGACAGTGACAAATACACAACAGCAGCAGCTCCAAACTCAGGTGAATATTCTACCAAGAGAGAGCTTTCAAGTGTGGCTAAGATGTTCTGGCCTTGTAAAAGGTGCAAGTGCTGTGAGGAAGTTTTCAGGAGCTGTTTGCAGTTTCTTTACCATTTAACAGTAGAATTGTAGATGTTGGTATTTTCAAGCTCCAGTTTTTTCCCTGGTTATGGTGACTGTGCTGATAAGCAGCACACACAGAACTGGACCTTGCTGGTTTGTTCAGGGTCTGAAATGCTGGTGTGTGCAGTTTTGTGGGATTTCTTACCAAGTGATCCTAGGAGCTTGAATTGCTGTATGCTTTCAATGCAAGGAGCACAGTAGCAACGAGGAAGAATTTAATTTAAAGTTTGATAGGTCATGCTGATTATGTTTAGAATGGCTTTAATGCTGTAGATAACATCCCAAGCAATTATCAATTGCCCATCCTTTCTCTTATCTGTTATAACTTGGAAAACATTCAGTCAGTGAATTCTTCTGAAGCAAAGAAAGCATAAGGTTTTATCTTCAAACTTACTGAGATGTGTAAATATGCCCACAAGCAGGCATTTCCTTTGCCATTGGAAAGCCAGCCCAGTCTCCTCTGGGTGTTCTATCTCAACAAGAGTTTTGTGCTGTGTAAGCAAACAATGGCAGTGACAGAGGGAAGAGATACACTGGAAACTTTCATTTCAGCTTAGAGCTAAAAACCTCCCAAAATATCTTCCATTGAAAAGACTTTGTAAGAAAGCATGGGAAATCATGGTTAATAGCAAGCATGTGCTGGAATTTCTGACCAAGGCCAGATCCTGCTGCACAGTAAAGCTGTGGCTGAAGTGACTCAAATCAAACCCAGGTATTTAGGATTCTTCTGCTGAGGAGAAACGAGGGCTTGGTGTTGTTCCTGGGGCAGAACACAGAGCTGTGCACAGGGTCACAACCAGGAGCTGATGTGCCTTTTCTTGGGGCTGTTCTTTCCCTGCAGAGGACAAGCTGGAGCAGCAGCATTCTCTGTTTACACACTACAAAGACCCGTGTCGAGCTGGTCCTGGGGAGGATAAGCCTTGGGCAATTGGTAAGACCTTCTCCAGCTCCCAGTGTGGAAACACTCCCCTGTCTGTCACCCACAGCCAGCTCTAAGCAGCAGCTGCCTCAGCTGGCCAGCAGTGAGAGTTTGGTGAAGGACAAATATTTATAAGGTGTATTTTTATACCATAAATTTCATAGACCTTAACAATAGCTGGTGGAATGATAATTAAGAACCAAACAGATCTTGAACTGCAGTCCACATTCTAGAAGTCACACATCAAGCCACCTGAATGCCTTCCCCAATATTCTACTCTTAAAATAATCTCTAGATTACTTGGAGGAGGAGGTAGCCAAATAATTGTTTCTGTACTTTGTGCATGCAGTGAAAGCAGCTTCTGCTCAGAGTGTTCCATTTGGTGCTCAATAAATACTGTCAGTGAGGATGTAACAAAGCAAACCAACTCTACGAATTTGTAAGGTTTGTATTATAAAAGATTTCCTGGAACTCTGAGATATTAATACCTGGTGAGACTCAGTTGAACTTGCTGAAGTTTTAGAACAGGAATTAATACTTGCTCCAGAGGAGCTTTAATAACTGTGAAGATACTAAAGATAAGTAGACCTTTTTAATAATGAGACTTTATTCTGTGGTAGGAGAAAAACAGATTAGAGTCATGGGGGCTGAGAAAGTGGAAGTGTGGAGACATTTGCAAGGTGTCAGGCAGCAGGGAGGTCTGGAGAGAGAAGTGAACACGCTGAGCTCTCAGAGCAGTCCCCTCTCTCCCACACACCTGTGCCTCTGCAAGATTCCCAAGAGGCACATCCCAGGAGCCGTGCTGGGACACTCACATCTCCCTTTCTGTTCACAGGTACCCTGTTGGATCCTGAAGGATTATATGATGAAGAAGTGTGCACTCCAGATAACCTACAGAAGTATGAATTCCTGACCTTTCCACATGTTTTAGACAGTTCTATAAAAAGCAAATTAATTGCTTGCTATTTAACATTTCAGATATTCAGACTGAGAGGTATTTTATGGACTGAAAGGAAACAAATAATCAAATTTTTACCAGGGGTGTTTGAGGAAGAGGATAAAAGGGGCAGGAAAAGAGGCTGGTTCTCTAACTCAAATAGGGTCAAAAACAAACCACCAAAACAAAACCTAATCCCCTTCATCCCCTAAGAAAACCAAACCAAAAACAAACAAAAGAAACAAAACCCAAACCAACCCTGTGTTTTAAAGTGACCTTTTCAGGCAATGTGTCACAAAATTCCTTTTGGAGTATTATGTTTTATTCCCTGAAGAGTTACTCGTGTTCAGTAATTGCATTCCACTGACAAATACATGACTGATTAAATAGAGAGCCATCAAATAATCAATAACAAATTAAGAATACTACTTCTGCTACCACTGGGTATGCACAGCACCCCTGGAAAATAGCCCTAAGTGCTGGGAACAGAATATACATAAGGCTTCTTGCCTGCTAAATGTGGTTTTCAATTTTCTGCCATGTCTTCTAGTTATTTTGCACTGATGAAATAACTTTATATGGGACTGTGATTTCCCCAGGCTCTTTCTGCAGTGGGACAGGGCTCTCTGCATGTGTGCATTCTGTGGAGGTGCTCATGTTTTGGGAGCCATGGTTTCCATGAGAGGCCAAGGGACTCTGTCCTGCTGTCTCTGCAAAGCACTGGCAAACAGGGAATGTGCAAAGAAGTCCAGGGAAATTTAAAGCAGTTAATGGAATCTGGGCTTTAAAGCCAGTTAAATGTTAAATAGCACAGTGGCTGTGGGGGCACTATCTAGCTAACAAATATTGTTCATATACACATCAAACCAGGGTACTGCATAGAATTGGTGCAGTCTCAAATTTTTCAAAAATAAACCTTGATAAAGCATTACAGACATTTAAATTGGCAATGTCAGCTATCCAGAGAATTATTTCTTCATCAGCACTCTTCTCTGGTTTATAAATAAAATTAAGTATTTCACATTACTAAAATAAATAGGCCATAAAAGCAGCAGAATAACTCCTTCTTAACTATCTCTTTTGTGTTAAGCACAGTGTACATAAAACATTAGACTAGAACAACAGACTTCATACAAATAATGAGCAAGTCATTTATAATTATCAAACAATTAATTAGCTAGATGTAACAACCTTGGCCCTGCCACAGTCCTGGTAGCCACACAAGCTTCTGCTCAGAAAGGCTTCAAGAAATGCATACAAATAATCCCATCTCACAGAGATGATTGTCATCTTTAAGATAAGCACTGGAGTAAGGTCATTTTTATCTCTGAACCTGGACCAGAGGAAGGCCTAGGAGAGCACATTCCAGCACAGCCAAGAAAAAATTTAAATGCAATTTTTTTCCAGTCTCTACTGCTGGACAGGAGCTCACAGTTCTGGGCTAAAGGCTTCAATACCAGTGAGAAAAATCTTCCTCAGCTCAGGTGCTTCTGGCCAGATGAGAGGTGATCCCTTGAGGTTTGGGATGAGGGAGTTTTGCTTTATGGCTCCCTTGCAGTCACTGCTCTTGGTGCTCCTTTTCTGGCTGCAGCTGGGTCAGCACCACAAAACCACCCAGCACAGGGATGGGGCTTCCACTCCAGCTCTGGGGTATTTGGGACTGAAACCCTGTCAGGGAAAAACAAAGTTCCAGTTGTTTCATTCTCCCTTTTTTTTGTGTCCTATGAATCAAGACAGTTATTCTGAAAATTGAGGTTCAGTTGTGCAACTCAGTCATGTTAGAAATGTTCCCTCCAATTGTCAGTGTTTAAGTGCCAGCAGAGCAGAGCCAGCTGTGCTGTACCTGTGTCAGAGACAAACAGCCAGGCCCTGTGCACAGAGAGCTGCAAGTGCTCAGCAGCAGCACATGCATGCACATTTACAGTTCCATGTATTTGAAATTAATATTTCCCTTCCATGAGCATTGTGCAGGTTAAGTGAAAGCCCAGCACTCACAAACTTTTTAAAAGATATACCTGAAACTGAAAAAAAATCAAGCTTTAAATTAATGCAAGTAAGATTTTTTTGCAGTAGTGCTGCAGAGCTAATTAGCAGTTTTCTTCTATTTTGTTACTTAATTATCTTTGCCAAATATAAATACAATTTTTGAAAGAGGTCAGTACCATCAAAGAACTTGCTTCCTTGAACCTAGAAAAACAATCTCAGGAAGTGAATAATTTGCAAGAGCTCTTTGGATAATCAAAATGGGATGCAGACAATAAAGCTAATTTAATGTGAGTTATTGAAACAAAGCAACACATAAAAGAAAGTTTACTTTCATAAACCGATTACAATAAGCTCTAAGAATCTTCAATACCTCCCTAAGTCCAAAGAGGGGTTAAGAAAACTTTGGATCAAATGACTACATGATCAGAGTTTTGTCATTGTTATCTGCTGCAGCACATAAAGTGCACCTCAAACGTATTAATTGACCCAAACTTAGAGATTATAACACTGCTGAGACCTAATCGGCTGTAGCCAGTGCTGAGTCTCCTCTGCCACCATCCAGGTCTTTCCAAAACCCAGAATTTGACAAAGCAACCATCTGAATCTCACACATTAAAACATATCACTTGTCCCTTGTTTTTCCTTCATTCTGTACTCTCACATGTATCCATTAAAAAAATTCCTGAATCCAGCCCCATAAAACCCATCCAAGTCAAGTCTTAAAAAGCAGTTGATCAAAAATATTTTATTCCAAGGTGAAATTAAAGGCTTTGTGCCTGCTAGGACCCAAGTCCATGGCTCAGTGTTTATCCTGCAAGAGCTGATGATGCAGTGTCATCAACCCTTACAAGGGAAACCACAGAACTGTGAGCTCAGGTTTTGGCAGGTGAGCAAAGGGAGGAGATTTTTGAGGAGGTGGTTTAGAAAGTTTGTGTTTTAAGACAGATACAGCAAAACCACAGCCTGAGCAGCCCCTGTCTGTGTGGGCTGTGGCACTCACCTGTGCTGGACCTGATGTCCCCCTGCACAAACCCCAGCACGGGCAGGTCCCAGTCCAGTTCACTCTCACAGCTGGGGCTGTTCCCTCGGTGCTCCTTTGGCAGAGCTTTAAAATAGAACACAGGAGGGTAAAACAAGCTTCCTTCAAAATCCAACACAGCAGCAAAAGAACACAGAACAGCACAGGATTACTGTAAAAACAGAGTGACTGGACTCTCGTGGGGTACCTGGTCCAAGGTCATGTTCAAAGCTGGGCTCAGTTCAAAGTTGGATTGGGGCCTTAACAGTCTTCTGCTTAAAACCTACAGGTATTGTTTAAGCACTCAAAATGAGTAATGGGAGAGAAGCATCTTATTTCCTTGAACACAAGATTGGTCCCTAGAAAACCAATTCTCAGTTTTGAGTGCTCTGTATGTGGCCTTGGGCTGGGTAATCTCTTTGCAAGGGGGGCAGTGCTAACACACCTGCAGAGTAACTCCTCCGTGTGGGGGAGTTTGCAGTGCCACATACAGGACCAAACAAATTCGGCTGTCATTTCTAGAGGAGGAAGAGCTTGGGGTCCAAGACACAGTAACCTGGTGCTGAAACCTGCTCAAAACCACCACCACATGCCCAGTTGTGTGTTCCTGCAAACCAGTCCTCACCCATGCCCTGTCTGTAAAGCTGGATGTTGTAATTTCAGGGGTTGGTCTGATCAGAATGGAGAGGTTTGCATCAAAGTGCTCAGGTTTGTACTAAAGCAATCCAGGAAACAACTTCCTCCTGTGCCAGTTCCGCCAATGCTGGAAATCAACAGAGGGGCTCTGAGCTGCCTTACAGCAGTGAGAGCAGGGTCCCCTCTCAGTGTTTGTTCTCCTGGTTTCAAGGGAGCTCTAGGACACCACCAGCAATGCCAAGCCTGCCATAAGGCTTTAAGAGCTCTGTCAGCAGTTAGAGCAGCCTCATACTGGAAATCACATTTGGAAAAAGATGTGCTTTGCAGGTTTAACAGGGACTGGGATTATCCTTACCAGGGATATGGAGAGAACCTTGGGTAACGCATAAATGGCCAGGACGAGCAAACATTTGAACATTAAAACTTGTTTTGTTTGTTTTTTTAATGCACTAGGGTGCTGGAAAGTGAAGAAGGAAGGAAAGGATACTTAGTCTATCCCACCAGCAAGAACCACAGTTCCAGTCAGAAGGGGAGGAAGGCATCACTGAAGGGAAATGGGAGGAGGATTGACTACATGCTCTACACAGAAGAAGGTCTCTACCTGGAATGGAAAGTGGTGAGTTTCAGAGCTGCCAAACAGTCTGTAACTTGCACAGCACACTTCTTTGAATGGCACTGCAGCCTGTTCTGCTTGGATTAACACCCATTCTCCTGGGAGGACCTGCTGCTTTGCTATTTCCCACTTCTGCATGTAGGTACCATGTTTGTAAAGCTACTACATAACAAAGTTGAGTTTGAGGATTCCAGGAGCAGCACTGGTAGATGTACTGCTCTTCTAAAAAACTAACCAACTTTGATTTCACTCCTTTTAAACGTTTTCCCAATTGTTTTACTTGATGCTTTTCCCATGCTTGCAGTCCTAACATTTTTTAATCTTTTCAAGTGTCTGGGTGTCCTTTTATGCTCATATAAACCTACCCCAGTTACAACTCTGCAATATGTAGGCAGAAGCTGCCATGAGCTACCCAGAGGGAGAATTTGTAGGGTGCAGTCTGCTTCCTAGTGTAGGGCCTTGCCCTGTACAGAGTTCCATGATGAAAACAAGGAGCTCATTCACATCTATTTACCATACCATGGATCAGCTACTGCAGCACTGCAGATGGGTCTGTCTGGAACAACAGAGATGTTACTGCAAACGGTAAGAAAAGGTGGAAAATGGAAAGATTTCATCCAGACCAGCTCAGCTGAGTGCCACCAGTGGCTCACCCCATCCTCTGCAGCACACTGCCATGCTCTGAGTGGCAGCTCCCCATCAGCCCAGCCAAACCAGGCTGGTCCCACACCTCTATAATACACTAAGGCAGTTCAAACAGGCTGAGGTCTGATGTGTGGACTGACAGACTGATTTCTTAGCTCCTTACCTTGCTTTTGTTCTCCTTCTGCAGGAAGTGGAAGAGTTCAGCTTTATTACCCAGCTGGCAGGCCTGACAGATCACCTACCAGTAGCAATGCGCCTCGTGGTGTCCACGGGAGAGGATGACCCTTAAAAGTGACCAGCTCTGAGAGATTAGAAGAGGGAAACACGAATGATATTTCAAAAATATCAGAGGATAAGAATGAACTATTCTGGTGCCACGTTAGGAACGATGACCAGACCTGACCTGGGCTACTCCCAGAAAGTACCAACAATGTGGATCTAAAAAGGGAAGAAATGGAAGGGGCTGTGGCCAAGAGCCACTGTGACAAGTGGCTCAGGCAACAGGGCAGGCCTGTACTACAAAGCTTTCACTGTGGACCGAACGGAACCAAGATGGAAGTCCTAATTCCTTCTGAACCAGTGCCATTCTTACTAAAACATGTTTTTATACTAATATATAGCACAATTTAGTTTGTACTTAGTCTGTGAGTTAGTGCCGCTCAATGGTTTTTTGCATCATTTCTTTGTCTAACTCGGAAGCTGCAGCTTTTTCTCTTTCTTTAGCCTGTGACAGTTGTAGCTCGTGCTTGCAGCCGCCGCATGCGCCCGCACTGCATGCACCGGGAGAGCCGGGGAGCAGCCTGGACAGCAGGGAAGGGAGGGCACACACCAGCCCAGCCACGGCCTCCTGGCACTGGAAACCCTTCTGTCAGCACAGGTAGACCTTGAACCAAACAACTCTCTTCAATTTGCAGACCGGTATCTTCCTGTCTGATGTAAGGATAATTAAAAGATTCGGAATTGAGACTTCAAGAACACAGTCCCACCCTTATGCCAGCTGTGTTCCCACTGAAATTATGAACTGTTTTGTCTGAATGATGACTCAAGAATCAGGCCTTCAGCTTTCTAAATGCAACTTATTCCCTTAAGAAGAAATAGTTTCCCTGTAATGTCTTTTCTTTCCCACGTGTGGGACAGTTCTGAATTATGGTATGGGATATGTATGTTACAGTAGAGTGAATAGATTCCTGTAGTACCAGTGGTAACACCAGAGCCAACATTCTGCCTTAGCTAGAAAGGGTAAGTGGGAAATGAATTGTAAAATGCATGCTAGATATAGAGTAAAAATAAACATAAGTGACATTTGGGGGGAAAAGGTGTAGAGCAGTGTATGATTGATAAGGCAGAATAATCTGACAATTTTCTAAAGGAATCAGTATACTTAAAGGGGAAGTGGAACGTGGCCAGCAGGAGAGTAGAGAATAGAACTGTGACTCTTGGCCTTGGGTAACTGCTTCCCAGGAACAGAGGCTGTTTTGATGTCTGTGAGACACAATTCTCCATGTGTTGTCCACCCACAGACTTGAATGGGGGTCTTGCCATCTGATTCATAGTTCTTTCCATTAAAGCTCTTCAAATGTGGGGCTCCCCTCTGCCATCTTGTCCCCATGACCTAACCTAACCAGCCTCTGTACCCTTAACAAAAATAATGAAAACCTGAGAATCAGGTCCATAATGAGATTTTTTTTAAGGATTTAATTTCAGAGGGTTTGTGTTGTTGAGAGAACGAGACCCCTTCTATTTTAACCATTATTTAGTTTCTTCTGCCTATCTCCTGTTCAAGTTTAGTGTTATTTCCTCTTGTATTACAAATTCCCTGTGTTAAGAAGAGTTAACCTAATGTTAGATGTACTCCATTAAATAACCTCTTTTAGTTACGCTGCCCACAAACTCCTGAGGACGCTCTTGTTTTGGTTGAGTTTACACCTGCTGTGAATCAGCTTGAGCTAAATCAGAATAGATCTAAATTAGAAATCTCAGTCTGCACAGCCTCTGATATTGCTTAGTTAGCTACAGTAAACAACAGAACTTGTACTTAGATCTGATTTTGCAAATAGGGAAACTCGTAACAGTCATGAGAGTACAGGACTAAGAGTATTGGCTAATTCAAGGAGGCAGCAAGGCCACTGCTCACTCTCCCTCTGCACCTGGTCTTGACACATTTTATGCCTCATTTTCCAGTCCTGGGGTTCCTTCAGCAGAGACTGCCTCTTAAAAGTGTACTGTGCCAAACCGTGGGGCTGTCTGAAGTGTAACCCATGGGGACTCAAAAATGGAACCAGACTCAGCTCCCCTTTTTATAAAATTAGGAATTCAAGTTTACAGAATCAGAGACTTTAGTCCCTGGTGTACCCCAGTGCACCACCAATTTCCCACTTTGTATGTCTGTCTTTATACAGAGGGTGCACATATGTGCAATGTGTTTTTCGGGTTTCTTATTGCTCCACTCAATTCAGAAAAACTTGTACCCAAACCAATGCTTTTTAATCCTGTTTTCTACCTTGCTTGTATTTTATTAATCTTTTTTAAAAAACCCAAACAGTACCAGTAGCAATTTGTGTGCTGTCCAGCAGCTATTTCTCAGTAGTAAGACTAACTACAAAGTACGGTATTTTTAATAGCTTTCCTAACAATGTAAATTACAATTTGATATCAATTTCACCAAGTATCAGTTGCAGGAGCTGAATTTGACACTGTGTGGGATACAAACATAAAACTACTGCCAAACAATGTTACTTTATTTACAGTAAAATGAACATGGTCCAAATTAATTTAAAAATTGTTCTGTGGCTTTGTGCTGACTGAAAAATCAGCCACTTTCATCAACTTTTTGAGATATGCTGAGAAATGTTTTTTCAAATTTGAAGTAAACTGTTTTAGATTTTGACGTTCCTAGTTCCTCAGTGCTCAAGAACTGGCTAGTTGTAAAATGTTCTCTTACACAATACTCACACATCTAATCAGTGTTAGTAATTGTTTCTAATTTACTGTCTTAGGGATGTGACTTTGCAAGGCAGTGATGCTGAGAGGTTCAGCATTGTGGCACCACTGTACAGATGCTCCTTGGTTTTTGCATTGATCCTGTGCCTTCTGATGCCTTGGCCATGCTTGCAGGGGTCAGAGAGTGTCTGTAGCAGCGAGCTGGAATGAACAGGCTTCACCTCCCATGACAGTGACCTCCGAGAGGAAAATCAGTTTTGCCTACACCACTCCAGCCACCACAGTTCCATCCAGCACCCCACAGAGAATCCTCTCAGACAATGCCTGTCCTGGCACGATATCAATCATCACAGGCCTTAGGCAGACACTGTAGAATAAAATATTTGCATTAAAAAAAAAGGGGTGGGGGTGAAGAGAACACACCCAGGACATCAAACCCTGGAAGGCTTTTTCAGATGTCAATCCTACTTTGATTATGGATAGCATGACCCAATTTTAAGTAGAATTTTAAGTATTTATAAGAAATCAAGTTAAGCTTACTCTACTATGCTTATCCCACTTTGCACTGGGATTTCAAGCATCTTCAAGAAGTGAGTGATAAAATATGCTTGGTTTATTACCTGCCCTCACCAGGGACACTGCTGATGCAGATGAAGTGTTATTCTTTATAAAAGCTAGATAACATCTTCTGTTTCTCATGTTCAGTTTGCATTTTACAAGAGCACTTCTAGAACAAGTGAACAAAAAGCCAGAGAGGACAGTTGAAAACCAAGCATTTCCAGAAGTTTTGAAGGTGTCAAGTTGGTAACTTTAGATCACTTCAAAAACGCACCCTAGAGCTGGAGCCACTGAGCCCAGGGAGGGAACACCCAGCCTCATGCTGGGGGAAAAGGCATTTGACTCATTCCAGTGGTGCCCAGTTTTATTCCACCCCAGCCTGGACACTTGGGAGAAGCTGCCAAAGCACCCAAACAGAAACTCCCAGAGCCTGGCTCCAGGAGAAGGTGTGTCCTGCTGGCTGCAGAAGGAGTTTAGCTGCCTTGTGCCAGAATCATGACAAAGTTTTATCCCAAAAACACTCTCAGTTAGTCTGGCTATACCCTCAGGCCTACATGTTGGGTAAGACAGTAAGATTTAAGGAACATACAATTCCAATGAGGATTTTTTTTTTCAATGGCCTTTGTTTGGTGGTCCAGATGAAACCAGTCTGACTGTCCCCAGTTTGGTGTGTGAGCTACCCTGGATCACACAGCAGCAAGCAGTGTCAGCACATATCAGCAGCTCAGAAATAAAGCAGTTTTGCCTCCTCCTGGCACTACAGGACGAGGACAGAAATACAATTCAAACACTTTGAAAACCTCCCAGTTTTATCCATTATGAGGGTCAAATTGTTACTGAAGGTCTCACTTTTCCATGCCATTTTGTTTTAAATATAATCTTGATGCTTTTAAAGACTTGTATTATTGCTGAGGTTTAGAAGTCCTGTAATAAGAATAACCTTTTTTTATTTCAATGATTTTTCGGTATTGTATCCTTCTGGAACCTAATGTTTTTATATGGTAAGCACACACCTTCTGACATTTTGTTATAAATGTATTTAAAAAAAAAAGGAAAAATTTAAATATTTTCATTGGTTTGTTTACCTGCAAGAAAACCACAATCACAGACCTGATAAAAACAAGGTATTTTAAACAATATGGAGGGGTTTTTGTCTTTTATTGGTGCTGAAAGGAATAACTGGTTGATGCAAACAAGATAATAAAATTTCAAGGCTCAAATGATTCTGTGCAGTCACTTTCTCTGGTTTTGTGATGTGGAGTCTGATGTCACCAGCAGAGATCTGACTCCAAATCACAGTGTGATGGGTGGGTCAAGTACAGCTCACTGTGCTACACCTGTTCTAGTGAACTTGCAGAAAATCCAGGATTAAATAAACGAGTCCAACTCCCCATCCCTCCAGTGCCCCAACCGCCCCTGCACAGACTCCCTGAGCAGTTTTCCAGGGGTGCAGCCTTCCTGCAGAGCATTCCCTGTGCATCTCATGCCAAGTCCCTGCTTTAAGGACAAGGCTCTGCACTGGAGCCTGGCCCCAGACTGCAGAGCAAGGCAGAGCACAGCAGGGCACCACAGCAGAGATGTGGCCCTGGGCTCAGGGACATCAGCTTTTTATCTCTGTGCTGTCCAGGCAAAGATAAAAAACAAACACCACACCCTGTGTACAACTGTTGATTTAACAGAACAACGTCAAGAGAAAAGAATCCATTTAACCGGTTTAGTCTTCCTGAACATTCCTACAAAAGCCAGGAGGGAACTCCTCCTTGAAGAATTTATTTTTTCCACAATTTTCCACAGTTTCAAGGAAGGATGAAATCGTTGGAATGCAAATGAGTAAGAAAAAGGACAGTGCACAAGTTTCTTGTCGTTGCCTCAGGAAGGCACCACCCCTCCTGTGAGACAGGACATTAGACATGGATTTCTGCAGCTTTCTCCATTGCTGCACAGGTGATTTTTCTCTGCATTCTAATACTACCACTGCATTGTACTTTGACAGACTTGATTTCCTAGTGGCAGATTCCTAGACTGCCTCTCTTGCAGTACCTGACCCATTTTCCCATTGCTGCAGTTGGTTATTATGTGAGCAGCTCATGAGTGGGTTCCCTTCCATGAAGTGCTAAGGAGCTACGAGATAAAAACACAGTAATTTCTTGGATATTTGCATACTGCAGACAGTTATAAGAACAAGTACAGAAGACTGCAGCTCTTTCCTGTTCCCTGAGCCAGGAGTTGCAGTGTAGCTCATGATGAACTCATGCCCACAGCTGCCTGTGGGTCAGCAGT